TATATATATATAAACAAGTTGAAGAGTCATGGTGTGATATTTCAAGTTTAACATCCAATCTTTCATCATCACACTTTCTATTTTAAAAACTCGGTTTAAAATCTCCACGTGTGTCATCAAAAGTTCCTCAAACAAAATTTATTATCAATTCAATTACTATAAAATATAATTAATAATTAACAATCAAATTAATTTTAATAAATTTTAAATTTTTCCGAGCCAGATGCCGCGTCGACCACAAATGTACACTAACGACCCCTACGAGCCACCAGCGGCGATCCAGAACGCAATGATGACCAAGGATAAGAAGCCCTTTACTTACACCCCAGGCATGGGGGGTAAATTGGACCTGTCCCAGATCAGAAGCCCGAGGATGGCTCGCAGAGTGGCCAAGAACGCGAACGATGAAGGAATTGAGGGACCGCCAAAGTCTCCTCTAGCAAACGAGGCTTACAATTCGCGTTCTGTTCCTGGAGCAGTTCCAGGAATGACTCTGGTTCCTGGAACGGTTCCAGGAACAGTCCCACTTCATGGAATGGGCTCAGTTCCTGGAACAGTTCCACTACCCGGCATGGGATCAGTTCCTGGAACTGGTTCGGTTCTTGGAACAGCAACAGTTCCAGTTACTCCACCAGGACCAGCTAGCCTCTTTATTCAGCCACAGGTTGCAGTTCCAGTGTTCCCAACCAATGTTCCGAAAACTGTTCCAAGGAACTCAGTGGAGAAACTGGATAAATCTCAACCGACGTCTCCCGAAACTCCGGGTACGCCGATTCAGATAACTTTGGCGAAAGCACCGACTCCCTGGCTCCAGCAGAAGAGCAAATCTCCGGAGGAACTTCCTGAGTGGGCTAAACGGACCTCCAACGGTTCTGGACAGGAAAGTCCGCCCAGGGTTCAGGTTCCGGTTTCGGTTCCAATTCAGATTCAGAAACCTGCTGAAAGAGTGATTCCTGTCAAGGTAAAAAAATATTTTAATTTTTTTAGTGTCTTAATTTGGGTTTGTTAAAATAAATTTTGGTTCCAGATTGAAGACAGACCTTCAGTTTTCACGATTAAAAATGAACCGGGGCACCACCAGTTCAAGACGCCACCGCAGCAGCGCTGGGGGAACCAGAACACGACTGCGAAGGTTACAGTGGCGCCACCTAAGCCACAGCTTACTGCACCGGGAACTTATATTGTGCCGATTGCTGTTGAGGGAGCGCAGGAACTCCCGAGTTATGAGTTCCAGCCTACTTCTGCTAATCAGTCCAGGTTAGAATAGTTAGGTTTAATTAATAATTATTAATTATCATTATTAGTGGTTATGTAAAATTATATGAGCTTTCTACATAATTAATAAATCGAATATAATCTACAGAAATCAAGGAAGAAATATTCAAGATCTATCAGGCGCACCGGTCCAATCCCGTTCATTCAGAGTTTTGCAAAAATTAACTGATACGGACAACGACGATATAGACAATGAACAACTCCGTAAGCTTCAGTTGACTGAAGATGATAAGGTTCTGATGAACAAATTCAAAGAACAAGGTGAATATATATGTACAATAATTATTGGCAATTTTTATATTGTTAGGTTAAGTTTTGAATAGACAACTATTTTGACTAAAAATTAATACAAATTCTTTATTAAAATTTTTTCCAGTGGATGGCGACACATACTTACACCAAGAAGAAGACCCAAGATACCGCGGTGCAGCTATTCCATCCCGGGCATTTAGATATTTACAAAATATGACTGATTCCAACGAAGTACCCATCAACAATGGTAACTATCTTTTTTTATTATTTTTCTTCATATCAATATCAATAGAATACTGAAAGCTGAGTACTTAATTAACTTAAGAATTCGTGAATAGTGCTATCTATTGGCTCTGAACCAAACTAAATGGAACACAAATCTAAAGTCAGCGGTTTAGCGCATTTTTATCAAAAGACAAAAAAATCCCATGACAAAATATGACAAACATCATAATCATTATCATCATAATAATCAATATTATGATCATTATGATACTACTAATCACCATGGAAACTATGATCATGATCATAATAATACTAATAATAATAATCATCATCATTATGATCATGATCATCAATATCATCATAATGATCACCATCGTAATTATGATCAGCGTAATAATCAACATTATAATTTATGATCATGATCATCATAATAATCACCATGATAACTATGATCAGTATCACCATAATAATCATTTGATCAATAATGATGATGTTGATTATTGTGATGATGATCATAATTATGATGGTTATGATGATGATGATTATTATTATTATGATGATCATGATCAATAATGATGATAATAATTATTATGGTGATTCTGATCATAGTTATCATGGTGATTAGTATGATGATCATGATCATAATTGTGATGGTGATTATTATGCTGACCATAATGATCACCATCATATTTATGATCAGCGTAATAATCACCATCATAGTTATGATCATGATCATCATAATAATCACCATGATAACTATGATCAGGATCACCATAATAATCATCATCATCATAATCATCATCATAATCATCATCATTATTGATCATGATCATCATAATAATAATAATCACCATCATCATAATCATCATCATTATTGATCATGATCATCATAATAATAATAATAATAATAATAATAATAATAATAATAATCATCATCATAACCATCATAATTATGATTATCATCACAATAATCAACATCATCATTATTGATAAAAATCGTCATAATAATCATTATTGATCAAAATCGTCATAATAATCATTCTATCATCATCACCGTCATAATTATGATCATGATGATCATGATAATCATCATCATCATCATCATCATCATCATCATCATTATTATTGATCATGATCAGCATGATAATCATCATCATTGTGATCATGATCATCAAATAATCACTACTATATCATAATTATGATCATGATCATCATAATAATCATCGTCATATTATTATTGATCATAATCATCATAATTATGATCATGATCATCATAATAATCATCATCATCATCATTATCATAATGATCATCATAATAATTATCATAATCATCATCATTTTCATCATCATCATCATCATCAATGAAATTTTTTCTCATGACGATTTTTTGTCCTGAGATAAAATCGCGCATCACCAAATCTATCACAACAGAACCACTTAACTAAGACAAACCTCATAACTTTTTAGCACCCAGAGCAGTCAACAGTGCACTGAAGCGTCAGAACAGAAACTCCCGGTCCTTCGGTGAATAATAATCAATTTTTCTAGTTTTCTGTTTTACCAGCATGGAGTGGCGTGTTTGCATGAAAACTATCCCCCTACCTTTTCTAACCTCGAATAAATTTTCAGATGAGCAGCCTGTGGTGCAAAATCTCCCACCAAGCGAGCAACAAGCCCCGGAACCTAAAAAATACACTGGAAGCGCGATACCCTCGCGATCATTCAAGATACTACAAGCGATGACGACTCCAGACGCTTTGGGTGAGTTAATTTAAAATTCTTCCTAATAATTAAATCCTAACTAAAATGGCCCCGGTCGTTCATCCTCTCTTGCTCCTACCGTCGCTTCCATTTAAAAACCGGCGACGGGATTAGAAATAAATAATAACGCATTAGTGAGAGAGAATGGGACGTAAAGGCAACCTATCACCAAAGACAATCTATTTATTTGTTGTGCAGCAAGCCGAGAAATTCCCGTGGGCCATCAGGGTTTATTTGTCCCGTACACCACGCCTGTTTATTGGGCGTATTACCCGTTAGCTTACGTCCCTAATCAAGAGCAAGTACCGTGCGCTAATCCCAACAATCTAAACAATATCGGCTGTTACCCGGGTGTGTTTTTCGTAGGAGTCGACAAACTTGATGATTTTGTTACTTCCAATGAGATTGCTAGCCAAGATTTAACCCTAGAGTCGGAAAAAAGTCACTTGGAACGCGAAAAATGCCAGAGTTTGGCTGCTAAAGAGCTTGGACTGATGGTTCCTGGTGGTTCTGGGCATGGAAAAGCTGAAGAGCTGGTTGGTAATCCTCCCCAGAGTGGAACAATGATGTCTAATGGCACTCAAGCTCAGGAAGTGGTGCTAAATCAACCTGGAACTATGTTTACCGAAGGTTCTAATCAAAAAGAAGCCTTGGAACCATTAAAAAACCAGTTGGGACTTCAAGGAACTGCATTAGATGGTGTTCTTTACTGTTCTAGAGATGCCCAAGGTCAAGAACTGGTGCTTAAGCAACCTGGAACTATATATAGAGAAGGTTCTAATCAAAAAAAAGCCTTGGAACCATCAATAAACCACTTGAAACTTCAAGAAACTACATTAGCTGATGTTGCTTGCTATTTAAAAGCTTCTAATCTAGTCACTAATCACCTTCAAAGCCAAAATATGACTCTTAATAGCGCCCAAAGTCACGAACTAGTACCGAACCAACCTGGAACTATGATTAAAGCCGGTTCCAGTTCTTATAAAACTTCAGATAAAACCACTAGTCATCCCCAGTCCCCAGAACTACTTACTAACGATGTCCCAACTTACAATCTCATCATAACCCAGTCTAAGATGAAGTTACGTATCAACCCAACCCGAAATGAAGCTTCAAATCCTTCAAACATTCAAAAAACTGCTTTTCCTGAAACTTCTAACCATTTAAAAGCTTCAGATCTGACCTATAATTCTGCCCAGTATCAAAAAAACGATGTTCCAAATCAACCTCAAGCTTCATTTGATCCAGGTTCCACTAAAGTTCCTACCAGTTCCCAGAACCAAAACCTTCCAACCAGCAATTTGACTGCAATCCAACTTGGAACTCCGCCGGAACTCCCTTGTTCCACAGTTCCAGCTTCCAAGAACCAGGAACAAGCTACCATTGATGGTCCAAGCTCTTACCAAGCAAACTGTCCCATGAACATCCTCCACGAAGAAGAAGATACCTCTGACAGTTCCAACAATGTCGACGACGGAGTTCCTGAGACATCAACTGACTCTGATTCTGATTCCTACTTGGCGTACTCGACTGGTCTGAACCCGGACTCTGATTCCAAGGACTCTGTTGAAGAAGGTCCAACTGTCAACGTGAGTCTTCCTTTGAAGACCAAGTCCTGTTCCGAGGAGGTCCACGTGGATTTCACGCTGAGCAGACCCAAATCTTGGTGCCCGGAACCTTCCAAGTTCCAGGAACAAAAGGAGGAAACAGAGGAACATCAAGACAAAGAAACTGATGATGATGACAGTGGAGTGAATTCTCAATCTGATTTAAGTCGCATGATTTCTGAAGTTGATACTGACTCGGAATGTTCTCCAAGAAAGGTCAGTTCCTACAAGCGAACTCAGACTCACTCTAGATTGTTTAAATTGATCAGTAAGAATGATTCACCTTTTTTTGAAGATACTAAGGAAGAAATGATTTCTTTGAAAAAATCTAGCAGGATTACAATAAAAAATTCGAATTCTCCCGCGCAAAGTTTGAATTTTCCCGCTAAAGCGCCGCCTGGAGGGACGCCGAGGAATTTCAGGCGGCCATTGAGCCTGGAAGTTAGGGAAGACGATTTTTACTTAAAATGGAAGAATTCTAACGGAAAAAAAGGAAATTTGGAAAGAAAATTTGTCAAACCGACTGTTTTGTGCCCACGAACGAAAAGTTTTAAAAATTTAACAAAATTATCGGACTAATTAAGCCGTTTTTTTTATAAATTTACCTACTTTTATAATCTTTTCTACTGATATTATGTTTTTGTAACGTGTTACATGTCTCTCACGAATGCTCAAGGATTTAAAACTAACAACTGCTGATGGATGATAAATAGGTTAACAAAATTAATTATAAATAGATAAAGAGAGTGAGAATATGAGAAATGAAAAACGAGCCGAGGGATGACGGGTCAGCGGATAATTGTTTTTGGTACATATTTTTTTTTATACTTTTTTTTCTCGTCGTCGAATCCTAACCGCTAATTTTTTAAGATTTATTTAAATAAAGAAAAATTGTGACTAATTATGATTTTCTTTTCAGGTCCTGACACATCGGAGTTCTGATCCCGGACTAGATTTTTTGCGTGCTATTTTTCATTTCTAATTTATTTTATTTATTTATTATTAATTTTTCGTTTTTGATTAACCGGTTTTTTATAAACAAATTTTATTTCGAAAATGTGTATATGCCTATATTTCCGAAATATGTTAATTAATATTGATATTGTAAAGAATAAATAAATTATTTATGGTTATGCTCTTGATGATTTATTTGAATTTTAATTTTCCCGCCAATGCGCTGTCTAGAGGGACGCCAAGGAATTACGCAAGATTTTGCCTTTAGCAGGGTGTTTAGTGATCATATGAAGATTTAATTACTTTCAATCATTAAATTAAGTGCCTGTAACCTTAGAAATTACATTTTATGATCATAAAAATGTACTGCGCAAGCTTAATTATCTTAGAACAACTCCTGCGCGTAAGTCAGAACTATTTCTGCGCATGCGCGAGTTCGGTTCCGGAGAGTTAAACATGCGCAAAGCAGTATTATTTTTGTAACAGTAAGCTTTGCAATGACCGTTACAAACATTTTTTACATATTAATTGATGTAATTAGGTCCTGGGGTGGATCACAATTTCAAGTTCCAGGTAATTGTAGCATTAGATTACTGTAATTGACCAAAATAAGTGCTCTTAAGTCTAAAAATTATATTTTATAAATTTAAAATAGGATTGCGCTGGCTAAATGAGCCGGGGAACAACTTCTGCGCATGCGCAGTAGGTCGGAACAATTTCTGCGCATGCGCAGAAATGGTTCCGGAGGATTTAACCTGCGCAAAGCATATTTTTACAGTATTCTCTCACTAAAGAGGTTATTATTAAAGTTTTCAAGATTAATTTTTGAACTTCAAGGCATTAAAGCCCTTGTCATGTACATCAGACGTAAAAAATGAATATAGTTTGTGATTATTCTGAGATATTTTGTTAGGTAATAAAGAAAGATATCATTTCTTCAATTAATTATTTTTTATTGACATTGAGATGGAAGATTGGACTCTGAAATTTGATTTTATTGAGTTTTAAAATACTATTTTTATACATTATAATAGTATTAATTATTATTATTATATTATTTATATAAAACTTATCTCTTCAGCGATTGCCATTGCAATTACAAATAGAAACATTAAAATAACAGCTTTTATCATGGTTGTATATTATTGTTGTAACTAATACTGATTATTATCAGTTAAAGTCGGGTTTTTTATACTAAAAAACGATGTCGAAAAGTGGGAGAAGGTCATTTTTGTTCTTAAAAAAATTGATGACTTAACAGGTTTAAAATTCTGAGACGGAATTATAAGTTAACGGAAAAAACCTGATTTGAGGGACTCAAGAATTTTTTAGAGTAATTTAAGTTTGCTCATTGAAAAGCTGAGAAAATTTCCTAAAAAATAATACCTTGCACGACTCGATATCTCTCAGGTCAATTTTTTGATTAATTGATTAATAAAATATTAATCAATTAATTTGCTATTAATTATTGACTTAATATATTAATATGAGTATTCATTTTACTCGGGCTGGCGATCTCCAGGTCGCACTCTGCGTCGATTTTTAAATTTTTTAAATAGAGAAAATTTTACCTCAGAGGTCGTAGGTCAAAACTATAAAAAATGCTTAGTATATAAATTCTATTAATGTTGATGACTAATTGATTAATTTAGACTACTATTTTTCTTCAATCGTTAATTCTCGCCTATTTTAATAATCGTTTGCTGTCAAAAAAAATTTAGGAATAACAATGATTTTACAACTTTAAGATATAATTGTATTCAGTCACAGACACAATAAAAACGAAGAACAATTATTTTCAACAGATTGTTTACGATAACATCAAGGTTATCAAGAAATGCATCAAATTTAAATTTAGAGCCTGGATACAGGGTCTCCGAAATTTTTCAAAGCTATTTGAGATGGCAAGTTAAAAAGCTGAGAAAATTTCGTAAAAAATGATACCTCGCACGACTTAATACCTCTCAGGTCAATTTTTTGATTAATTGATTAATAAAATATTAATCAATTAATTTCCCATTAATTCTTAACTTAATGTATCGATGTGGGTACTCATTTTACTCGGGATGGCTCCTTTATCGGGCGGGATGTTAGTAGAGCGAAGTTTGATGGGTTGTTTATCATCTTGCAGAATACCTGGAACAATTTTTTTAATTGGCAGGTAAGAATATAAAAATTGAGATTTTTTTCGGAGTAATTTAGGGTAGAGTAACCAGTAGTTGAATATAAAGATGTAATTACTAGTTCAAATTAGTGATTTTCATGGAAATATAAACAATTTTTAATTGAAGCGCAAAATAACGCAAACGAAAAAAAGTCTAATTAATAATAATAAATTTAAAAATTCGACTTCATGATTATTATAATTATTATTATTTTTACTTTTATTATTACCATTTTTATAAATTTGAAAAATTCTACACAATAATTTTTCATCATTATTCTTATTTAAAAAAAAATTACAATAATAATAATATTAATAACATTTATTATTATTATAATTATAATTATTATTTTTTTTTTAGGTAAAAAATTATTTAAAAACAGCAGAAGGAACTTTTAAAGCAAAATTAAAAGATGGTCCAAATTTTGAAGCCTTATTAAGATAGTTCCAGCATAAAACCACTTTTTGACAGATTCGGCTGAAATTTTTATTACGGGTTCAGAATAGCTTTATTTATAAATTCCTAAAATTTCATAATTTTTTACCGTTTAGATCGCGAGATATTTAAAGTCAAAGTTGGCAATTTTGAGGGTCATGTTCCATTTAAAGTATGTAAAATGTCCGGTCTCTCCAACTATTTTTTATTATATTAAAAAATTCTCTCGACAGAATTGTAAAAAAAATTAGGAGAGTGTTGAAAAATGTTTCTAGAATAAGTTAAAAAAATAAAAGTAGCACCTCACCGTTTCGTCATCGAGATATAATAATTAAAAAAAATAATTTTCAATCCATTTCTAACCTGCTCATTGAACAATTTATAGTGATCCGGCAACGCCGTGCGTAACGCTCCCTGTAATAGTGTAGCATAAAAAGCGGGAAATTCAAATCTTTCACGGTTTTCAAGAGCAACGTTACCAGATCACTAGAACTAACAATATGTAATTGTATATGTGAACGTCTGTGTGCCGAGGCTTTTAAATTTTTGTCTATAGTAAATGCTCTGACTATACTATTGGTATCTGGTCAATGACATGACACCACCTAGTGGTCAAAGGCTGTACTACTGAAAGCGGGTCATGTATTCTTATGGGAACGACGTATGCACCATCTGGATTTATAGAGCTTAACTACTGAAAAATACCATTGAGGACAGATACCAATACCACGCTGGAACTACGTTAATTCTTAAATTATAAGTAGTGATTGCATAAAAAAATGAACGATTGTTATTAATATTGCAGATAATGAAATAAAATTTTAAAAAAATAGGGTGTCAATAATTGGATCCCTGTCACTAATTGGTGCCTTTACCTTATCGAAAATAATTTAGCTATTTCAACAACATTTTTTACACCGAGTGGTTTATGTTGATAATAATCTTATTATTCCACCAAATCGATTTGTTAATTATAAAATATTTTCATTAACTAAAAGATTCTGCTATTTCAAAACTATTTTATTATAATATATAGAAATATATTCTAACCTGATTGTTGGGCAGCGGTAGCATCTGAAGCTTGATCAAGTGCAAGTAATTCTCCTGGCCAATCACCGGGAAGCATTTATAAAACGCAACCGGGTCAGCATAGCTGTAAAATCTCTTGGAGTTCTTGGTTCCGACAACCTTCTTGTTCTCCGGATCCTCGTGCCTCCAGCAGGGCAGCAGATCAATAATATCTCCAACAATCTCCTTGGTGTCTTTGGGCAGCAGCCGGTCAGTCAGCTCCCCCATTTTGTGCAGCCTCTTGCAGACCTCCAGTGCCACAGCTTGTTTGGCGCTGCTGATGTCATCCATCGTCCTGCCAACAATTTCTTCCCTTAGCGGGCAATGGATGGGCATCCTCACGGAGACACTGAAGACTTCAACCTCCAAAGCAGAATTGAGCGGAGATCTTGCTCTTTTTTTTATAAGCTTGTAAATTGGAGACTTGTTGGAGAATTTTGTCTTTCGCGTCAGAGTTCCGCAGTAATGTTCCAAGAGACTGATTGCTGCACTAGCAGTTACTGTCGCTTCGACGCCATTGACGTCTGTAACTGTGTAAGGCTCGATATCGTTCTCATAAAGGTTCTCCAGCTCGTCTGGAGTCGGCTGAGGGCGCTGCTCTGTTTTACCGACCAGCGAGTTCCGAAGAGTTCGCTCAATCTGCTGGAACAGGTTGTACTTTGCTAGGTACGAATTGTCTTGAGATTCGACCAGTACCACGAACTTGCTGTGCTTGTAACGACCTCGGCCTTTGCTCTGCATGTAGGCGCGGTAGTTTTGTGGAGGGTCGTAGCAGACTATCAAGTTGCACAGTGGAACGTCCACGCCTTCATCTAAAACGTCTGTCGCTACTAGGCAATTCACTTCGCCGTCACGGAACCGTTTCAGCGCCTTGCGGTTCCATTCGTTTGAGCAGACGCTCTCGCTTGGGGTTTTGTAGGAGTCTGCGCTGTTACCGAGAATGTAATCTGGTACCAG